TTTGTAAAAGGCGTATTTCAAATACTAGAGACTTGTGCTTTGGAAAATACATGCATATCCATGTTGTGATCATAATCTAAAAGTTTCATGAAGTTCGTATGTCCACTAAAAAAGTTATTAAACAATTAAATTCTCATAGTAAGCACTCACTGCCGCCCATGCGTGTTTATGCTTGTGTGTGTATGTGTGTATGTGTGTGTGTTTGTGTGTATGTATGCCTGTGTGTGCGTGTATGTGTGTGTGTGTGTGTGTGTATGTGTGTGTGTGCGTGTTTCTTGTGTAAGCTGAAAGACGCGAAAATTTTTTGAAATACATAGCTATTACGTCAAGGGTTCAGGGGATCTCGTAGTCGAGCAGTCTCGACTAGAGCTTTCTTACTTGTTTTTCTTTATGGGCGTACTGTTTTCATCCTATCGCTTCCAGTTCCATGAATCTTTGATCCAAAAAGGCTAGGAATTCCTTGATGGGCTGTAGCGCTCGTGTGTCTTTAATGGATTGCTCAATTTTCTTGCCGGTAGCACTAGCAAATGTGGACCCCAATTGTTGACTTCTATGCCGCCATTTCTCAACCTAGCTAACGTTTCTTGAATAATGTCGTAGAAAGTCTTTATAGAGTCTTTATGCATCATTTGTCACTGGCGGTTGATCCAAAAGTTTGTGTAGAGTCGTTGTAGTCAGGACTCGCTTGTTTTATAGTTGGACTCTGTTAAATCCAAATGTCTGACCAGTCTTTCAGCATCTTCAAGGGAGGTTGGATTTTAAGTACCACATTTTTTGTACTGTTGGCAATGTTGACTCATGAATAATTTTAGTGAAGAAATTATGAAATTGTTGCCATTTTAAATAGCATCCATCGAATTGTGGTATGGATACCTTTGGTAGCTGTACTTGAGTTTGGGCAGCTACAGCATTAGGTGATGGCTTCACATCAATTAGTGTGGCTTGATTTGAAAAATGGCTGACACTGCATTCAAATAATTTTCCAAGTTGTATTCAAGAGCTATTGGATCTTCGAATTTCCTTCCTTCCTGCGGCCTTAGTATGGAAGTATATTGCGATTGACTTCCGTTCCTGAGGATCATTTTTATAGTTACGAATTAGAGCTTGGATCTCCTCACCAAGCGAGGTCTTAATCAAACCCTCTATTATGAATTTTGTGGTAATTAATTAATTTTATTTTTAATAAATCCGTTTCTTTTTTAAATCATGTCTCTGATGTTTCTAAATTTTATCAATCAGAACGATGCTGTGGTGCTGATGCCTGTACTGACTTGCCGCCAAGATGATAGTCCTGATAAATCTGCTTGACTGAGTTATTCGTCTATTTAGTGTTTAGTTTGATCACTTGTTGATCACTTGGACAATATTCGATTCGCCAAATAATTCCACTGTGTTTTTTGTTTCTTGTTTTGAAGATGTTAGTTGTCAAGTTGACCACGTCTATCGGTTGATTTAGAAATAGGGTTCGCCAAATGAACCCTATGATTTCTAAAGATTCGTCTTCCCTCACGTCGGGGTCACCAAAATGTTGAGTATATTTTAGACCTTGATACAAAACCAATACTATGTGATTGTATTTTATGTTTAAATGTAAAGGAGATGAATGTAAAATAGTGAAAGTCAAGACTCGTTGCTCTATTTTCAAGTGCTATTTTTTCACTAGTTTATTGTATGAAAGTAACGGTCTTATATAGCATTTCTTAGGTGGTAGGTATACAAGATTACATTAACATTATGATTATGTCTTTCTATTTATTCAATAAACTTAAATAACTAGCCTAGCCCAGTACCTAGCGATAATGATGGGTTACTTGCTAATTGTCTGATACTGCAGATAACCATAGTACCTTATATCTTAATTTATTTAGGGTGAAGCAGTTTGTTGGTCTTGGGTAAACACAAACTCAGACAACTCATATATAGCTAATATAAGCCGCCATTTTCCGACACCTGCAACACCTCCAAAAAATGTGCAAACCATAATTAATATATGTCTTTTGCTTCAAATGAAGTGACCTGACAATATCGGACAGTCTTTTAGGCGAAACTAAAGGTAGAAGTTTAATGACCTGTACATTATTATCTCCTAAGTCTGTACTTTCATCACTTTCATTAATGTCTAAAAGATTTAATTGTGGATTAATTTCGGACAATCCCAATACCCTAAAACTCTTGACTACGATTTGATTTTCCAAAGGTTTCCTCATTTTCGCCTTGAGCTACATTTTCAAGAGCACTTTGCAGTTCGCTATCATCTAAAGAATTGTACTTTCTACGATTGATATCAATAGTTTCAAGGTTTCGATTACAAAACGTTTCGCAGTCTCTAATAACTAGCTCTGTTTTCTCATTTCTAAAAGGAAAGTATAGCATTACGACATCTATAAAATAGAGCCAACTATCATTATTTAGATTAAATCTTCTATATCTAATTATACTGGGGCTGTGTCTTTTCATAACAAAGCCTCTAAAAAGCTGCAAAATCGTAATCATACATTTTCTAGAGCGTCATGTCGTTGAACATATATTTTATCAGATACAATATTCTATGGGACTTATTAAAATAGTTAAAAACATAGCTGTACCAGGCGTATGGGTCTAAAATAAATTGAATGACACTGTTTGCCCGCTGTAATAGAAGCAAGTGACTTTTATATGCGATTAGCTTAATATCGGCAAATGATCGCTTTATAAGTATCTTTGGTTCTTTTTTTTTTTTTTTTAAAGTCGACCTAAGTGCAATTATATAGCATTCATAGGAGTGGTTAAGCTGATCATGAGACAGAAAACTATTGGAGCCCCTAAGAAAGTCGAGAGTTTCACGATCAAATGGACACTCTAATGTGGATTGGATTTGTTCAAAATTTCTGAGATGTACATTCACATTTTGAGCATCTTCCCCTTAAAGAAAAACACTTTCGATTTGGAGCATTGCAAATGTTTTTTTCCAAAAAATGTTTTTTTTTTTTTTTTTTTTTTTTTTTTTTTTTTTTTTTTTTTTTTTCCGCTGGAGCCACTTGAATCATTGCGCACGGCAGTCGCTTTCCCTATTACAATTTAACTCATTATTTTTACATCGGCAACTTTCTTTAAATTATATGTTGCAGCAACATTTG